ACCTAGAGTGCCCTTACTGCAGAAGCGAAATTAGAAAGGATAAAGTGTATTATATGCCACAGCAAACAATATATAACAATGTTCAACATTATATTACAGACATTGATGATCAAGATAATTATATTGCTAATGCTGGAAATAACACAGATGCAAAAGTATTTGATGAATGTGATGACCTCAAAAAACAAAAAAGAAAGAACAGAATGAGGAAGTCTGATTCTGAATCTACCAGGAGTTCAATTTGGAAATCTTTAACAACACCATATATAAACAACTTGTTCCAAAATAAAAAGGCTAAAAGTGCATATAAAAATAATAAGTTGGAAAAGGCTTTGAACATCTATTCACAATTATTACAAGCTGATCCCACAAATTATGTGGCACTGTGTAATAGAGCAGAGATCAAGATAGAAATGAAAAATTTTGGAAAAGCCCTGTTTGATATTGAGACAGCAATTGAAGTAAATAAGATTTATAATGATGCTTGGTATTTAAGTTTAGTGGCACATGTAGGTTTGGGGAATAAGAAAGGGGCTGAACAAGATATTGGGCATATTAAATATTCACATATGCAAGAAAAGGCATTTGATGTTATTAATGAATATGTAAAAAAACTTGAACACTTTGATGTGGAGTGGTTTAAACTCCCTGTGGATAGTTGCTCTCATAAAGCAATGTATGAGTTAGACAATATCAATCAATGGCAATCACTGTGTAACAATCAGTATGGAGCAGATGATTACACCAGATGGTGCAACACTGCTGTAATTTGGTATCACAAGTATAACAACACTTGGTCATATAGTCACAAATATATAAGAGCATTCTATGAAAAAGTATACTTTATGCACAAAAGTAAGGGGTTACACTTAATTGCATAAATTTATATATTATTATTATTATGCATACTAAATTACTTTATATTTATTATTATTATAGGTCATCTGAAAGCACATTTTGCATATGAAAGTCACATTGAAGATAGGCATAATTGTAGATGTGGGATGTAAGTAATTTATAATAACTATTTGTTATAATTGTACTATTACTAATGTTTCTTATTTAATAGTGGTGCATATTGTTTGTACCTTGATAGACCTAATAAAGTAAGTGATTAATTATCAATACAATATGAATAGTCTAACACTTTGTACAATGTTGTGAGTATTAATTAATAAACGATTGTATATTAGGTAAAAATACCCATATTCCAAGTACCTCCTAATAAATACAAACTCAGCATTTTGTTGAAGAATGATTTGAAGATGGCAATTACAATTACAATGATGGTAAGTATTGACATATGTATTGTTTAATGTTAATTGTATAATGAGTATAAACATTTGGTTTTGTAGACAACAATAAAAACATCAACTGAAGAAATACAATATAAGACGGACATTGAATATCGCAACTACTATGCTGAATACATTTTACCATGCGTGGCTAACGTTTTGTCTGAAGATAACATTATCATAGAATTTGCTATCAGTAACATCAGTGATGATGTTTTTGTAAGTATGGTTTATTTATTCATTGACATAGTGTAAAATGTATTCAATCATTCTAACTTTAACTTTATTTAGCAACGCGTATACCTTTATTGGGTTTGTTTGTATTCGGAAGAAAAGTTAGATACTATGGAACGTAATTTGAAATTTAGAACATTTCCAAATGGTGTAAAAATGATTGACAGTGAGCAATATCGTTATCCTGATAGAACATATTCCATATATTAACGCAAACATTGTTGTTGCGAGCATATTTTACTAAATTATACTGTATGTTGTTATCTTCACTATCACGTGCATGTAATATTATTATTATAGTTAAATTATGAAATTATGTTTCCTCGCCAAACGTTATTCATTATTATGAAGAACAGTCGCGGGTGTTAACGTATTTGATATGAGAAGAACGGATACGTAAAGCAAGTACTCTTTATTGCCAAAATCACGATTGCTATATAACATATTTCAAAATTATGTGCGCTTTGCTTTATTGCAATTATTCGGGGACCAAACACCGCACTCACTTGTTTTTGTACTAAATGTGATCGATGCTAAGAGGATCTGTCTATTCTTCTTTTCATATATGTTTATAATGTTATTTTCGAGAAGCTAAGCTATAAGCTAACATTTGCTTCATGTCAATTTTTTTTTGCCCAACACAATGCACCGAATACGCAAACGTCTAGTTGCATTTTTCAACGTTGACATAATGTACTCGCCGCCCTTTGTTCTCGTCCTCGCCCGCTTCGTTTTCATTCACATCAATTGCATTTGTATGAAAAGTTTCACCAAAAGGTCTCCAGATCAATGTCTTGTGAAAGGAAATGTTAGAAGAAAGGTTGCGAAAAAGTATCAAATATGAGGATCCACGTTCTAATTACAGTACTTACCTACTGGAGCAGAAGTCGGCAACTCTTCAAGCTGATCAAATAGCGCGTTCTTTTTTTTTCTGAAGCTTTGACAGAGATTCTGTTTACAGGTTACTTTCAAGCATACTTAGCAACGCTCTCTTTGCATTAGAGAAACTTACATAATGATAAATCAGCATTTTGACGGCAGTGAATCAAGAGTTAGTTGGCATGTCGGCGACAAAAGGAACGATGGCTCAATAAAAATTATAGAGATCGAGTCACGATTTACCCCCAAAATGGGAAGGATTATCGACAACTCAATTTGAAGTTCAAGGAATCTTTTATCAGTCTAACCACGTTTTCCTAATTTATTAGACAAAAATTGGGACATCGGGAAAACTTTGTTTCAGTCTGGTTCAAGGGTAGAGTTGGAAGAGGAGTCGAAAGCAGTGATGTACAGTGAATCTCAGCCGCATCGCTGGTTTTGAAAAACGATAGTTTTAAAAGATTGTAATGTATTCGAAAATATAACATCGTTATGCAACTGTGTATAGAGAATTGTTATATTAGCTAGGTTCTCGTCACATTTCCTTTATAAGCACCAAAATGGTCCTGCTTACAAAATTTGCGCCTATATATTATACAATGTTTTACTCGGTTATCATAAAACAGTCTTTGTCCTTATTATGGTAGCCCTCATTAGTTTGATACCATATATGGGTAAATCAGTATTTCGTATAGCTATTTTGAGATTACTTGTCAGATTCGATAATATGAAGCACTCCAATCTATCTAGACAACATATTCCTCATTCAACGTTGTAAATAGAGCAAATACTAAAAAAACTAACCAAATATCAGTTTGAACCAAATACGAAATTTGATTAATCATTCGCAGAATTTAAATTACGCTAACTATAACGTCTGGTAAGCTTATATTTAATGTTATAACGCAATTACATTCGGATACTGTTGCTTGTATCAATCCTCCAGACTCTGACATAACTTCGGGATTCTGACAAAATGTGACTGTGTTATTTGTAGTCAACATTTAGGGTATTATTTATGTCTTATTTAATGAACACCATCATCCCAAACGTTATCCATTAGGGGGGGGCGATGAGCTAGTGAGGGCTACCTGTGACACGAACAGAGGGAACCAGAACAAGTCACCGATTTATCGCGTGCGTCATCTACTAGATCATACTTATTTTAGGATTTATAATTAATGAAAAACATCCTACTTCGGGAGCAAAGAGGTGCAAAGTCTGCAAAAAATACTGTGAAACAGGAAAGAAAAGAACGTTCAATAAACTTAATACGCGAATAATTAATAGGCATGTTAAAGTTTTTATTTCCTCTTCGGATGATTATTATTATACACCATTCGTTTCAATAATTTATGTTTACCTCTCTAACTATTACTGTCTTTACGTTATATTTAGCCACGATAGTAATGACACATATGAGAATGATAGTCGTTACATAGCTTTCGTGTAATTCGCGAGATGTTTGGTCAACTTACATTGTTATAAATTAAAATTATAGGTTGATCTATTCACCAGTGTCGATGTCTCCTGCAAATACGTTATAAGACACAACTAACGTTAACATATGCGCCTATGGATCCGAAGTACAGTGACACCCATAAATGCAACCCCATAAGTGCAATCCCCATATGTTGCTCGGGGGATTTCGTGAATAAATGTAAACCCCTCTTACTCTGCAATTTGCGAGTCACGCCCTAGTAGATTTATTCCTAAGTGCGATTCACGTAATGTTATTTGTTGCGGAAAAATGATCAATAATAATGTTTCATATACAATATCATTACAATTCGCGCGCACAGCATTATTTGTTATAGAAAGTATTCTTTGTGAAGAATTGCTATTTTCTTTTTTCAGTGTTTGAGCTTGATCCTGTTTACAATAGCTTTGAAACAACAGAAGAATTTTAATTATTATTATTATTTCTTTGTTTAGTGGAGAACACGATTAAGAAACTGACAATGATAGTAATGAAACCCAATAGTGAGTGTAAATGAAGCATTAAAAGTTTAGAATAACATAAATATACTTCTAATTCAACAAGAGGAAGCCAGCAGTTATTTAAAAGCTTGGAGAAATTCATTCGCGAAGAATGGGTAAATTCAATGAAACAAAAGTAACATGACACAATTCCTAGTTAACAATTAGGAATATTGACAGTCAAACTTTTTTACGAAACTTTAGCTGGAAACTATAATAAGTTTAATAGACGTAATAGTTAAACTATCATTCCTATTAAGGAAACCCTCATCAATGCAAAACTTCTATAATAGCATTCGGTCCCAATACCAAGGCGTTACATTATGGAGGTGTCATTGTATGTCAATAGTTGTCACATATGTTAATTATTAGCGTCATTATATTTAATGGTTCCAAGAAAAAAGCATCATGCTGAGGCAACATTTTTTATACGTATATCGAGAGTGAATATGCAGTATTGTACGCTAGTTAGCAATGTTGAGCCATTAACATTTGGAAACTTTTTAATAAAAAGACGTCATGTTTGATGATATTTATTAGTCATTTGAAGATGGATTTATTTATAATACTCATATCATATACATATATATATAGGTAGATGGAATGGATGCACTAACATTTCCAAATCACAAAATCACCGCCACTGGGCACTCCAGCGCCCCAAGTTCCAAATATCGCGTTTCCACTCTTCCATCCATTATAGTGCAACGGATTACCTTCATATCTCTTGGTTAAGCTGACCGAATTGTCAACTGATATGTGTCCATCAAAGGTAAACGTACCACCTTCATCTATACCAGAGCCAGTGATAATTTCGACGCCTTTTAGATCTTTCCACAAAGTCATGTAGATTAGCATCAGGACGCCCTTGTTATCTACGTCAAAGTAATATCCACGCCAACTCCCTTGATCTGATTTTCTTTTGGGAGAAGAAGTCTGTTTAATCAAGAAATTACCCATATTCGGCTTGGCAGTAGTGCCCCATATCCCAGAGAACAGTTCGTCGTTATATTTGCCTTGGTAGTGCCAGGCCGTATTGGCATTGACATTGATGTACTGCTTGGTAAAGGAAATATCTTTCGATGAACCATCATAGTTGCCGTCAATAGAATAAGGCCCAATACCATCTCTTCCACTGCCGCTAACTGTAATCGGCCCGTCAGGGCTGCTACTCTCGAATATCAATTCCACATTCGACAAGTTTGACTGGTTTACTCTATCGGTGTAGTAAAAATCATAGCAGCCATACCACCAAGATGTTACAAGACTCTCTGTTGAAATTGTGGCAGACCTGTTGAAATATTTGGCTATAGATAAAAAAGCAACTCAATTTAATTAGTTTCATCTCCTGTAAAGCAAACCAATCAAGTCGGTTTTAAATAACACTTACCGACTGCCAATGGGTATTCACAACTCTCCGCCTCATCAAATTCATTCAAAAAGTCGTCAAATAGCATAAAGAAAGAACCATCGTCAGCGAGAGAATAATTCAACTCCGGTATTGTATCTTTTTGCTTATAAGGCGCCCAATCACTGCTCTCATCTGACCACTTCCCTACAAACGAAATAATCGTTACACAAGTCAGTAGGACAGTTCACAGAAAGTGCTGTAGCGAACAGTTATGCTTACCCTTCCATTCATTATGTGCCCATGGATTACGGACCTCGACCAATTGATTACCATGAAAATTAACAGCGCGAAGAAAGCTATACACATGATACGAGATCAGGCCCATTATATCTTCACCATGACCCTTTGGATCGTCAGGATGATGCTCATCGCGACCGCAGGCAAATACAGTATCACGGGGATTCTTGGTGGCAATAAATGCATTCCAAAGTTCTTTTTTCTTTGCAGGATCTTGTTTCACTTGGGCGAGCTTGTAATCCTTATAATTTATGCCTCCAAGACCCACAAGTGCTAAAAAGGCAAGTTATGGAATTATTATTTTTACGTTTAATTTGCATTTCGAGAAAGGAATGTTATGAATACCTCTTTGCGAATTGACTGACCCATCGATACTTTCGTAGTCACCGTTGATCTTGGCAAATGCCTCTGCGGAAAAATTCATTGAAATTATTAGACTATTCGAATTGGCATAATTGAACGAGATGCGAACTCACTTTCAAGAAGCGGAGCCCACGCCTCACTTTCTCTGGCCTGGCTACAATAATATAATCAATCGTTGAGTATGTATACCCAATGCCTTTTTTATTAAATATACAACTTTTAATTCGAGATACCTGAACTTCAAAGTCGTATTGTTGATGAAAAACACGTAGTCATCAACTATAGTACCAACCCAACCGTCGTTGTAGAATACAAAGCCATAGATCTATGTGAAATTTAGTTTATTAGTAAATAATATAATCCCAAATTATTAATTAAGATGGAAATTTCCAATCCTATACCTTGGCTTGTTCATTAACTTCGACAGCAATAGATTGAACAAGACCTGGAACAGCAGCGGCCGCAGCAAGAACCGAGAGAAACCAGCAATCGCCAACTTCACCTTTTTGATAATAATATCATTGAGAATAAGCTATACAAAATAAAAACACGTGTACGCAACCGACCTTGCTTAACATCACCCGGAGAAGTTCCGTTAACGTAGAATTTCGATTGCAGGAACGCGACACTAAAACGTTTGATATCCCTGTATCTGTACGGCTTTGGATCAAGCGTGGGGCTCCTGTTGTTTTGATAAAGCGCAGTCAAGGGATATTTTGTAATATTCCATTCCTCGTCCGTAAACACGTCTCCTTTTAGCGCAGCAACTTTCTAAGAGTTTGAAATAAAATTTCGCATACACATTATTATTTGTTCGAGAAGTTGGAATAAAGTAAATAGAAAACGTACGGTTTGAACCAAACTTTTAAGTTTCGTGACGACTGCGTCACGCGTGGCTCCAAAAACAACTGTCTGTGTATCTTGTCGCTTTTTCCATTTCGCCTTGAGAACTTCATATGCTTGTGCCATTTTTGATAAATACTGTTACAGTTGTCAAGAGACTATTAAAGCTGGCAAAACCAAAAAGAAAAAGCTTGGGTTGATATTGGAGCAAAACTGCCTCTTTTTATAGCTTTTGGAATATGAAGGCTGTGCTGGATTTGATATTGCACCACGTTTCAGCAATTAGCGTTGAACTGCCAGTCGCTCGCATATCCCTTTCTTTCCTTTCTGCATTTGGTGTAATAGAATGGTTGGGGCATTACGAGTTTCCTAGGATATCCATTGCCGTCCATTCGTCATGGTTGCAACAAACAACGGCTACCAGTTCTTTTGGAATTTGTGGAGGTAGAAAATTACACAAAGTGATTATCGGGAATTTACCTGCCAGGTCACACAACCTGCCAAGTCGTATACAGGCTCAAATATTATTCCTTTCATTGGACGCTCAGATGCCCACTCCATAAATAGGAATATTATGGGCTGTACCTGGCAGGTAAATTTCTGATTATCACAATACTAAATGCTAAAATCAGATCGTCACCTGAGAATCACTGTAATACAGAGAACCGTCGTACCTCGAAATCTGATTGGCATTCGATAGATCAGCTTACAATATTAAAATAGTATGGTATGTCTCACGATTAACGCGCGAAACTCGAAGCTAAAGGCCGTCTATTTGATTTTTTATGTGAGAATGGTAGACAAAAGTCAGTTAATAGGATGCGAGATTAAAGATGGCAGCATGCATCAGCTAGTGCTGCATACAGCAAGATAACGGGAATGGCAAAAGAAGTATCTGTATTGCTTAACTCTCTAGAAATTACTCTTTATGTGAAAGGCACTGCATACATATCCTCGTTAAAATGCTTTAAAATTTATGCTCGGAAGAAGCAGAGAGAAAAGATTAAGACTCCCTAATGATAAGAGTTGCTGGCATTTGAGAAACCTTTTTCGTATGAACAAGTTTTTTTATATTTACAATCGGTTGAGCAGATGGTTGTTCTTCTTTGTGTCAGAGGAACTGCAACCACGGATGCATATTAATCTTTGTACTGGGGTTTCTTTTAATAGGCCTTTGCAGTTAAAGTTGAATATCAAGACTACGATGATACAATTCTTGAAGAAACTAGCAACGAACTCAAATCATATAATTTTGCGTACCAATCCTTCTGATATTCTGAAAGTAATTACAGTTTAATATTGGCGGTGTGGAGAGACGACAGTTTAATATAGCGAGATTATGCCAAGGCAAGTACTTATGACAGAAAATATACATAACACATGCGCGATATAATTCAGCGATTAATCAGTGGAAGGTCGAACGTCATAGAATTTATAACTAATAAAATTATCACCACCTCAGATACAGTATATCTCAGTCCCAAAGTGTTGATGACTGTACAGTAGTTCGATTTACGCTTTTCGAGTGGCAAAGTAAGAAAAAATCTGGATCGTATTGCATTAGTACGGGGTCGGAAGATAAGTAGTCGATATTGTTAGGCGATATACAAAAAAAAAAACCGGCGTAGTACTTTTGATAAAATCGATAAAAATTGCAAGGTTGGCAGTTCATTGTAATTGACTTGATTAGGGCGAAAGATCGTTTTGTTGAATAAAAGCTCTCAACTTTTTTCATAGAAGAAAGCTACGTAGAATTTACAAAAAGTAAAAACTCAAATACGACATCTCTCCAATACTGCGGTATACATACTACATGTGACATTACATCCGCCTACGTCACATATATTGCCTTACATTCATCAAAAATTCTATAATTGACGGAAGGAGTTTCTCTATTCAGAGAAGGATATACAGTACAGTCGACTCTCCCGGCATATGAGAATTATTCTCTAAATGCACACACGTGATTTTGAGTATAAATTTAGTAAGCAGACATAGTTATTGTCATACATCAGGTAAAATTATAATTGGTAGAAGTTGCAACATTCGATTCAAATGTATTACTATCGAACGTTAAATGCATCATTAGGCGATTTCAGACCACTTTAATTTCATCAGGCGATTTGATCAGGCCATATTCCAGTTCAAAAATCAGACAGAACTTAAGCATTATATGCTATAAAGTTAATTTAGTTTTTACGAGCGAATGACTATTTAAATGGATAAGCGTCATATTGCCATAGATTTTAAACTTGCTAATTGATCACTTTAACAGATGCGCGAAAGTATGAATTTTGTCTGTATGCTCACCAGAATCCAGGGACTCGAATAACTGGATTGAAAACAAATGGAATGTCAGGGTTAGCGAATCTACAGTATCGCGAATTTTTCAGAAAAAGGAGGAGCGACTTCCGACTTCAACAAAATGTATTAAGGAAGTGTACATAATAATAGTATCACGTGAGCATGTGTTACCACTCCGTAAATGCATTATTCTCTAAGTGACACGGTTCCAAACTAGGGAGAGTCGAAGTCCCCTCTTCCTCGCCTGTGTTGCGGATCTTGTTTGCGTCTTCTTATCCTTCTTATACAATATTGCCAAGACCCACCTGATCTTCTTCTTGTAAATTAGGATCGTTCAATATGTTTATCCTAATAGACAAATTCATCGGCAATTCAGATGTTACTGTTTACATTACAATAATCCCGTGCACACTAGAATGGGTAACATATCAATGGCGAATTTTTAGCCAATAGGATTGACCATCAAGCACACTCTGTACAACGTGTGTATGAGGTATAAAACGTAAACCCATAGAAACCGAAAGCTCAATTCCCCTTATCTTTGCATATGCAGGAATCGACGATGAGTTCTAGCTCAACAACAGGCTATGAATCAAACACCTTCCTAATAGCAAGCACTCCCGGTGCTTCCTCGATGACATCTACTTCAACACCGAACAACACCGTAACTCGAGGCAGTTTTCCTAAAATTATACTTCAATTAATGGAACAGGGACTTACGTCAGCAGATGCGCAAGTAAAGGGATTGTTAACGGACATACAATATTCTGAGAATATTTATGCACTCAAATACATTCTCGAACATAGTGGTGATTCTGTACCAGTAGAGGTGTTAACTACAGCTGTGAATAGCCTATATTCTCAAGAATTTGATAAAGTACTTACAGGAGAAACAATTATTAAATTGGAATGGCAATTACGGATTATTATAATTATATTGGAGCAAATGTGTCAGAAGAAGTGTCAATTTACAAGTCAGTTTATTGATGACATTAGACAAGCCACTTCCATGTACAAGAAGGTACATTCAAAGATTATGCAACATGGAGGAGAAACTTGGAAACCTAATTATGCAGAATTTAATGAATCAGACAAAACTATCAAAAGCTTTAAATGCAACTACAATAGTAGATACCTTCTCAAACTTATTAAGAATACATTAAATGCTGTTTGTAGTGATAAAAACCAGTATCAGACAAGTATTGATCGAGCCATTGCAGCATTAAAAGGTTTACTTGTTACTGTTCCTGGATTAGCTAAAGTTGGGATTAAATTAACTACAGGAGTTGAAGTTCCTCTTGGTGATTTTGACATAGAGAGATCCTGGACATATTTTATAGAAGCCTTTTATGTTGAGCCATCAGGCAAGCCCTGGTATACAACCTGGAGAAGGCTTATTATATTGCAAGATAGTC